TATTAAATTAACAACAGGAATCACTGTGCACTAACTTACCATGCAGGACCTCTGTCCTCAAAGAGTTGGATTATGAGAGTAATAGTAAAACCTGTTCTCAAAGATTTACTTCATTTAGTATATTCTTATGTCTCAGAAGCTATAGTTATGTCTAAGTACTTGCAAAAAGCATATTAATTAATTAATTAATTGATAATTAATTAATTGAAAAATATACACACATAAATGAAACCTCAGAAAGGTTTACTTTTATTGAATCAAAAAGCATTTTTTCTTATGGTAAAAATAATCCTTCTGGTCTTCTATTGCACAGCGGGGTAACAATAGTAAACAATAACATTATATTTTTCTAAATAATTAGCAGAAAGACTTTTGAATGTTCACACTACAAAGAAATCTTGACTATATGAAGTGATAGATCTAATTATTCTTATTTGATGATTAAAATCTATGCATGTATCAAAATATTACATTGTACCCCACAAATATGTAAAATTGTTGTTTGCCAATAAAAACAATTGCAGGTGAATCAGTGATTCAAGACTTAAAATTGGTCCTTGTTGTTAAGGATCATCAAATACAAATTTATTCTAACACTCACACATCTGGGAAAGCTCTTGATGAGAGGTTTTTTTTCCCTTTTTTTAATTTAAATGCTAGCAGTAGCATATAGAATCCCAACAAGTAGCACTCAAAATCTCTCTTGGGAATGTGCTATTTCTTCTAAACCTAATGTTAGGTCCATGAAATACTTTGGACTGCTCAGAACAACAATGTAATTCAGATGCCAGGTACTGATAGTATCATTAATGATCTCGTTTTTGCAACTTAAAACCAAGTTAAGGGTAGGTTCAACTGAGATTCATTGAGAAGAATCACCTAATCAGGCCATGAGCCACATCCAAATGATACCATGACAGGAAAGGTGACAAATTCCTAATAAAATGGTATAAAATAATTTAATATAATAGTGATATATGATATATAGTATGTACATAAAATATTATAGTATAAAATCAAAATAACTTTTCTGATGTGGTATTTTTGTATTCAACTTTGATAGAGTGTGTAAATGCCAGGTCTTTAAAACCCAAGTTAGACCTCTAGAATCAACAAATGAGACTAAGATTCAATAATCTAAAGACTAAAAACTATGACAAACAAAAATCAACAGAGTTGAGAGAGATGATGCGTATACAAAGACTGTGTGGCCGTTAGGCCATTCATGACTTTTTATCCAGATGGGAGAGAATTACCTGACAAAACAATGTGTGTATCTCTATTTCACCCCTGTGGATCCATCTGGCAACAGCATTACAGAGTGATCGGTAACATAAGTTTTATGGCTAAGTCCAACTTCTTTGATTCTACCTGTACCACTTTCTATCTGTATACTTGAGTTACTGTGTGTAATGCACAGCCCAAGTTTTGTCATCTATGAAATGGAAATAAGAATATTCTATATATCACATGATTTTCAGTACAGTACCTGGCCCTAACCAAGTCCTCAGTAAATGTTCATTATTATTACAAGGTCAATATAAGATGCAAAACTTCTTAACCAGAAATGATTGCATATACAAAACTCCCCAGAAAGTCATGTTCATTTCATTGCTTTGAAAGATCATCGATAGCTACCCAGATCTTGCAGACATTTACAAATGTTGCCCTTTTACTGCATGTTGTTCTTAAAGGACATCTGGAAATAGTTCCAGGAAGAGCTTTCAGGGATGTGGCTTTTAGGGGGTGGTGGTCACCCGGGTCATGGGTGAGAAATGCTGCTCTTTTTCTTCAGGTATGTTAGATTTTTGACCTCTCAATAGCCGCTTACCCCAAAGCTCTTGGTGCTCAGTCCTCCTGTTGTTGGAAATTAGAGCACTCTTAGTTATCAGAAGCCTGAGATGTGTGGGTTCAAGGTATTTGCCAGTGAGGACTAAGTTTTAGAGAGTACTACATTAACATTATGGACTAGGTCACTCCTTGCAAAGGGCACTCAACCTTGCCTCTCTGATTTTGCTCATATATGATTTATTAATCATGTCTTTGGTGGTCTGACTCGTATCCACTTATGTATCATCCCTGCAGCTATAAATACAAATAAGAACTAGGATATAAATCAGACTTCCCCAAACACAAGTATCCTTTCTGAATAGTAAGAATAGCTAAAGCTTAATGTCTTTCAAAATTAACATAGGGTTGTTTCCTGCACTAATCCCTTATCTGCCACAGGTAGAAACATCACTGATCCACTGATTTAAAATCCATTGGTTTTCCTAATTATCTTTCTGGCTTCATTTTGAAGAAATTCAGGAAATTTTTTGGTAGATCATTTCAGAAGTTGCACAGCATCAAACACCAGAGGAAAATCGTCTGAATACTTTACTTCCACATACAGTTCCAGTTTCCTGCAGCTATTTGTTCCTTCTAATTACAAGCAATCCAGGAACTAGTTTTTGCAACTAGAGCATGAGAACAAGTAATTCATTTCTTCAGGCTGAGTTGAATGCAGGAGTCTCTCTGAATCCACCATAGCATAAGGTACAAGACCAATGTTCTGTGTTCTATTACCATTCCATTCTTAGTGCTAAAGTTCACTAAGGAAAATATATATATCTCCCAATGTCAATATCTTATGCTTGAGATTTCCAAAGGAATCCTTCCCTGGTGATAGATAACATGGAAAACTTACTTTTTAAATTTTTCTATAAGGAGTAGGATTTAAAATATAAAAGTTTCATTGCATATTAAACATCAATTTTAGATTCCCTAGGTTGATTTAGATATATTTACCAAATCCATGTATGTTTTCTGATCCATCTGTTTACAAATGAAAAAAATAATTATAAATATATACATATATATATACACACACATATATGTGTGTGTGTGTGTGTTAATTTGGGAAGATTGTGCTTTATCACAGTAAGTGACTGGGGTGTCTTCCTGGCTTAAGGTTTTGTGATTGCTTTTGCCCTTCACCCAAATAACTGCCCTGGACCCAGTGTGGTGGGGAGTGCGGGAGGAAATAAACATCACCTCTCAGGCAGAGCTAAAATATCTATGGTGAAACCAGCGTTCAGAATTATCTTGTGAGTCATTTCTTAATTTCCCTGACCTGACGTGCATTAAGTCGCCTGGACTGCCATGTGAATTCAGGGTTACTCAACCAAGTTCAAAATCATGCCATTTGTTGTAGAAGCAAAACTTTTCTGTTTCCTGGGATTCGTCAGCCAAGCTGCCTCTTCTTGAGAGTGATGCCTTCTCAGCTTTTAAAAGTGGTTCCTTACAAGTGTTATAGCAAAAAAGAAAAATTCTGTTTTCATTGTTCTTAAAGTTCATATAGTTGGATTTTCATTTACTTAATATTAGTTCTTTTGTGAATACAATCTTGCAAAATAGTCTTGACCCAATCTTACCACTCCAAAAACTAAAAATGGTAGCACTAACTCTCTGTTAACATTAATCTGATGACAAAATAACAAAAAGATATCGGAACTCAGTAACACTTTTCTTCCTGTGCTCCCTTTATATTTGAGTCACCCAGTAAGAGTTGTGGCTCTAAGTTTAGCAAAATGTTGTACTATGACTTCTCAACAGCTTATTTTGTGCTAGACACTAGGTTAAGGATTTGGCACTATTTTAAGTGATTCAGTTGGTGCAAAGAAGTTAAGTAGATATTATCCACATTCTCCATGAGGAAGTTAATACATTGAGCAGTTAATTTCACATAGAAGGTACAGAAGACAGAGTCTGATCACTGGGACCCTCTTATTAGGAGGCCACACTCAAAGTCCCCTATATGATGAGTGTGGTAGAAAGAAGTGTAGATAAAGTGAGGCAATGGACAGAACCCACCCCTAACTATAATTAAGATACCAAGTTTTTGCTCTGCCTGAAAGATCCCAGTGTCCAACCATAGTATATTAGATTAAACTCATGGTAGGAATGAGTAATTAGTAACTTCTTCCCCTTCCCCAAATGCTCTAACCCATTCTTGCAAATACTCCTTGTAAAATGAAGTTAGTAGATAAAAAAAAAAAAAAAAAAAAAAAAAAAAAAAAAAAAAAAACAAAGAAAATGACTAAATAGGCTTCATGAAAATCATATCTCTCAGCTAAATAAAAAAGCATCACACTTCAAAACTCAAGACTGATTGAATAAGTATCTGGAGTAGAATGAATTTCTTGCAGATTACATTTGTTCATGAATTACATTCATATCAGATGCTTTCTAGTGTATACATATTCCTTAAAAGAGAATAAAAGGCTGTGCATGTGTACTGAGTTTCTTTTCTGTGTGCTTACGATTAGCACTACAGTAACTCCAATGATAGCATTTCCTGCTCAGTAGGGCTCTTCAGTGCTAACAGCCATATGAACTAGATTTCCAGTACTTTGGTACAGCTACTTATTTTAAATTAAGAATATTCCCATACCTGTCTGTGCCTTAGAGCCCACTTTGGAGTTCTATACCATATTCTCTTTAAAGAACATCAAAAATGGGAAATTGAGTTCACTTGAGAGTCTTCCATATACTTTGCATGTAGATGTGCAGAAGGTGAAACATGGCCTAGTACTTTGTTGCTTAACTATATGCTGTAACAGGAGTGCTCCAGAGGCCTTCCATTTGGACTGTTGCTTACTATAATCTTCCTTTGACAATGCAAGATTTTATACAAAGGATGACAGCACCATCATGGGCAGCCATTTTGTTGAGGAAACCGGAAACCCTCGCTCTTTTAAACACCTAAGTTACACTACTCCAATCATTATTTCTTCAATTTAAGGTTATATTTTCTGCCTCCCACAAACTAATGTCAATTCTCCATGTTGAGAACAAGAGAGGCATTTGGCATTTGGTTATCCCAAACCCAAATCTCTGACCCTTTGTTTTTAGTACTTTGCCACTTTAATTTTGCTTTTTTAATTTGCTTGTGACTCTCTGCTTCCCCCATCTTTTTTTTTTTTTGGTACAATGATTCTTACCTTGTCTTTCCCCAGTCCGTTTCTGACCTGGAGAGACGTACAGCATGTTATTGTCAGGACATCCCGTGCGGGACATTTGAACGCTAATGACTGGAAAACCAATGCTGCTGGTTTTAAGGGTGAGAACTTCTTTCATATTCTGTCACAGGCAAAATATTTTTCTTTTTCCCCCATTTTAAATGGAGAGCAGGAAATAGAACCTCTCAAACGAAACAAATTGTGTGTTGACACACGAAGAGCTTCATGCTTTAGTAAATAAAAGGCAAATTGATTTTTTTCTTTTTTAAATTAAAACTACACATTAAAGCAGATTTCCTTGGCTTCCCAAATTTTAGGTCAATTTTTTTTAAAAAGATCAACCAATTCACAATTATAGTCAGCCTATGGAACTCCTAATTAGTTTACTATTTGCTGCCATTGATCATCTAAGTGGTATTTATAATATAAATATATAATAACATAGATAATATAAATATATAATAATATAAAATCATTATGTAGTGAATACTTCCTCTTAAATAATAATTGATACACATAAATTGTATATATCTATATATGTTAATAATTTGCTTTAGTTCAGTGGTGTTAGTTGCTAAACCATGCATTCTATAAATTTGGGGGTTTTGGTTTTAGAACATCCACAAACAGAAAAGTAAGCATACTTCAAGAGGTGTTACTTTATATAAACTAAAAGTTCATATGAAGCTTTATAATTTGCAGTCTTTGTGTAATTGCACACAGTATTAACTAGTACTAAACATGTTTCCAGTGGATGATACAGATTATATTTCCCACAAACTGTCTTATTAGCAATAGTTCTTTTGTTTGTTGTCACAGATAATATATGGTATAATAAAACAAAAGTAATTATAGAAAACAGATGTCCTAATGTTTGGAATATTTACTCAAGTTACAGATGACCTAAGCTTTAATCCATTCACTTAAGTTATAACAAAGAATTTTTTAGCATATCTACAGACCTAAATGTACTCCCAAATAATCTTAGAGTCATTATATATGCCTGAAGATGAAAAATAGTGTTCCATAGCATAGGGAATATCAACTTAATATTTGAGGTTCTGGTCTTCAGGCCATAAGGAACATTCTCAGTAATCCCAGACAAGTCATTTAATTTTTAAGGGCCCTAACTGCCTCAGTTTAAACATTTTGGAAGCTGAATAATACTATGTACATGTGATCTTAACATATCCTTGGAGAATTATGCCTGATGTGTGCAAACATTCAGGCCAAACTGCATATTTTAAGAATTATTTGCAAATAGCTTAGTGTAGTCCCATGCTTAACCAAAACCTATAAATATGCCAGATAACCAGTGCCACATAAAGATGTATTTGATTAGCATCTCTTCACTCTAATTTTAGAAAGAGACCATCCCTCTACTTTTGAGTATTATCAAACACCTTTTTCTGCTTGTAAACTAAATAATGCAACAGAGTTCAATGAACTTTTAATTCAAACAGTTGCAAATACCTGTTAGTATCCCCTCCCTGAAGCCCAAATCATGACACTTGATCCCCAAATTTCAAGTGTATGGGCAGAATCAAAATTAATTCAAATTTCAGTTATTCTGGAAAATCCAGGATGTAATTTGCTGTATGTGTGCTTCATTTTGACCAGTTTCCACATGCTCCCAACTCTTACGATTTAATCCAAGGGTACATGCAGGGAAGATAGGACCAACATATAACCTTGGCTGGTCCAATGCTGCAATGAACTTCTTAGTAGGAGGTTCACAGACTAAGTACATTGACCTCCATGAAGCTGAGGAATCAACTTTAACCCAAATATAAATGTCTTAGTTTTACTTATTCCTTTTTGGCAACTTAAAAAGAGCAAATGGTTCTAATAAAAACTCAACTCTTTTGAAAACCTCTGTTGGTTTTGGAGAGGGGGAAACAGAGGATTTAGACTAAATCACCAGACCCAAACCTGAATCTGAAAGGGGCTGTGCACTGCTTCTGGCAAGGAGGAAACAGTATTTTACTATTGCACGTGGCAATATTTAGGATAATATTTCACTCGTCTCTTAGATGGCTGCCAAGACTAACAATTAAAGTTTGCTTTTTCATAGATGAATTATGCTGAACTGTCTGGGCTCCCAGGGGAATTGTTTTGTAATTTCGTTGATGGCAAGCCCCATATTTCATCTAAACATGATCATAATAGGATGAATTTTTTTTAAAAAGAGTTATTTTCTTTCCTACCCTAAACATTACCATCCCCTCCCAAGCGTCCCACAAATAAAAGTGATGAAGGCAGAGGCTAGCCAGAGAAGCAGCGTGCTTCGGGAAAGTAGAAAATGCAGGTCGTCTGAACCGAAAACAAAAGTGGGGAAGGGGTGACTTCCTATGAAATAAAACCTGGAAGAACCAATTCTTGGAAGAGATTCATGCAAGGAGAGCTCAGCAAGAGTCCATTCTTTAAATTCAGTCGGCCTTCTTTCGCAGGCCTTGCTTAGCTGGAATCCACGGCCCCACATCTCTCCTTAGACTGTAGAAAACAGAAGTTTCCTGCCAACAGACCCATATGGCCTTGAGTGCTCACTCCCATCCCACCCTGCTCAGTCCTAACACTGAGTGACCGAGGTGCGTGAAAGGAATGTGAAAACACTTGTGCTTTCCAGAGCCTGTTTTTGGGCAACAGGACAAACATTGTGCCCAAGTGCTGAGCAATTTCACTTGTTTGAAGAGAGATTTTTTAATATGAAAAACACGAGAAGGCAATTTCATATATTGCTCAGTAGGGATCTGTTATTAAAGATCTTCTTTCTCATAAGGGTAGGCAGAAGTCACTCAGAGTAGTAACCAACTTAGTTTTAGGATTTGGACATAGGTAGACTTTCCATTCTTTCTTACCACTGATAACTTCAGAACGGCCAAGATGCTCAAGAATAGTCTCTGACCAAGCTCTGCCAGATCCACATTACATAATGTCCTTACACTCCTTGAGATGTAACTGGTGTTACACATCTTAGGTAGACACAAAACCTAGCTGACACATGGATTGGACAGGTGTGGGGCTCTCCTGAACACAGACCTGGCCTGTAGTTAGCCACATGGGTTATTAAGTACCTGCAGGGTAGAAGTGTTCCCTCCTCCTGAGGCACTAGCAAGCTCCTGGTGACTGGCACAGTTCCCAGGCAGGCAGGGAGGCTGGCCCGCAGACACTAAAGGAGCGGACTCTGCTGACCCGTCTCTGTTTTCCTGAATCACACCGATGAGCTAGTCAAGAGAAGTTTCTTCACCTTTTTGTCCTCTGCTTACAGTAACTCTCGGTCAATGACCCCATCATGACAGCATCTCACAATGAAGCAAACTCCAAAGATGCAGACAGCACATCAGCATTGTTATGCTAATGTGCCTTAAATTTTAACAATTTAATTGAACTAAGATGATTCTGTCCTGCTGCTTCAATAACAAAAATAATAATCTTTTATAGCATAATTAAAATGTCCTTTGCAGCACATTAGTCTTTCAGAATAAACATAATCCAATGAATAGATGCCAATGGAAATTGACCAAACATTGATTTGCTTTATCTTATGAATACTCCTAGCTAAATTTCATACAACACCTTTGACTTTAAACCTTCTCCAGAGATAGTTTCTTTAAAAATAAGTGGAATATATACCATGCATCAATGAAAGAGAATATTGGAAAGTATGCATGAGAATAGGAAATCATTTGTCTTACACTAGATGCACAGATGTGATATTCTGCTACATGAGAACTGAAATCCAAGTTCTGGTATTTTGTTACCGACCAACATTTGCAAAGCCAGGAGATAACTTTGGCATTAGACTGTTAGTTTTTTTTTCAGGATTCTTTCTTTTCTCCCTTTGTCCCTTCCCCTTCCTCTATGAAAAAACTTTTTCTGCGTTGTTACCTGTTCTTTTTTAATTCTCACTCGTGTTCCTTAAAATACACAAATCAGCTATAGGAGTGAGGCTTTTTACAACCCAAGGTGATTTTATTCGTGGAGTTTGGCTTATGCTGTCTCTTCATCTACTTATTCACGAGTATTTCCAGAGCTCCTTCAGCATACCTGCCAAACACATGGTGACATGTGCCCAGAAAATGGGAGGAAATGTCAGGGGCAGCCTGGGACTGCTCCATCTGTATACTGTGGTATACTCTACATCAGAAATAGAAATTTACAACACACCCTTTTTTCTTCAGTCTAAGTCCCAATGATCTGCCAGGTCCTGTCAGATAAAAGTATTGATGATCCTTCTGTCAGCATCTAAAACTCAGTCCAATGCCAATTGCAGAAAGCATCTAATATACAGGACATCTATTATGTCTGGTGTGTATTTTGACCTGTTTGGGTACAGAGCCATGGGAATGTTTTGATTCAGGCTTTCTTTATCATCCATGGCTTATATCATCTCAGAAAGAAGTTAGCTCTTGCTTGTGATTGCCTTCCTTCTCCTGCTTTAATCTGAGAAAACTGCAAATCCGCCATCCCCTCCTCCTACCAAAAGCCCGGGCTAAGTAGGCGAGTCCTTTGCCTGAATCCCCAGGTTTGGTTTGAGTATGCAGCTGTCACGAATGAATGCATGAACATCAGTGCTCTAGTTTTCTTTTTTTTTTTTTTCAAAGTGTTTGTATTTGGAATATATGACTGTCTACAGTTAAACTCTCTTAAATCTAGGAACAGGAATAGACGTCAGATAATAAATTAGGACCTTCTGTCATCTTTACTAGGCGAAAGAATGAAAAAAATGTCATTGAAAATCAAAAAATGACAACTAAGTGAGCGAGGTTACCACGCCTTCCATTTCACTGCCCTCCCAGACTATGTAAGTCTCTTTTTTTCTACCAGCATGTTGCTGACATCTCCCCATCCCCACTGACTCTTTCTTTGACCACAACTAAACTACTAGATAATTTTTTATTTCTAACTGTTTACCCACCGTGGGGAAGACAATTGACAGTCTAACATGACTTCTTAGCCTTCGAGGCCTTAACTTTTAATAACCTTTATTACTTTTAATTGCCATCATTTTATTTCCACTGGTAGGGTTGGTAATTTTAAGATGTTCCAATATATTTTTAATACCTACCTGTCTTGCTTTCAGTTTGTAACACTTATTAAA